TTGCTGAAAATTCAGGTTTGTAAAATCCTCAATATAGCATTCTTCTTCTAATCCGCGGTTTTTTTCTTCGTATCACGCAAAAAATAACTGATTCCTAGTAATCAACGTTTCCTTCCCTCCATATCCGAAATCTATTGGTAAATGACAAAACTAAATGGATTAAGAGACAGTGAGGGCCAGTCACAAACACTACTTAAAAAACCACTAAATCGGTGGTGCATCAAAACAGCCCAAACCCCAAGATCTTAAGTTTCTTTAATAGTAAACTCAAAAACCAAGCGGAGTGCCCAGGGTTGGCTTGAATTAGTACGATTTCTATCAAATTATCAGCAAAAAAGTAGATCATTCTCTTGTCCTCAAAATAAAGTGGAAACAAGTTACATGGAAGTTAGAAACTTAATACCTAACAGAAGCTGTCTTGCTGATAGGGTTGAGAAGTGAGTTCTAAGTTCCAATTTTTTGGGCTAAAGGGCGTATTTAACTGTAAAAGAAACTTATTATAAACCACAGAAATAATTGATGACTAGCCTGGCGAGCCTCAGGGGTTAGAGAAATATTTAAAAAAAAACGCTTTGTAAGGAAGTTGTGACTCAATGGACTCCGCACCATGGTGCCGACCTTGTGACTGGTTAAACACGCTGCAGAACCCTGCGCAACAGATGATCGCCAAAGGACCTTCAAGGCGCTTCAAATTGCCTCATCGGATGACTTGAGGTTCGGTCGCACAAAATACGCGCATCTTGTTACATCCGACGTATGAATCAACCACTAGGCCACGATTCTACAGCTAAACACAGCCTTTAGCCTACTGCGCACCAATGAGAATACCGTCAGCCGAAGGCTGAAAGCTGATTGGTTAAAGTAGCGCGAAACACATCGCATCTGGAAAAGTCGCCACACTACCATTGCACTTTTAACAACTTTGCAATATTAACGCAAGGCTCTTGTGGCAACTATACACGTAAGAAAAGTAGGCATGGTACTAAGGTGCACGACTTGGGGCCTTAATAATTGCTGGACACACGGTCCCAAGATGCAGGAGGACTGAAAATAAGTGTTAGGAAAGTAATGGTGGCAGCATGGGCCGTCTTAGGCACAAATTTGTTTAATTTGATCTGTAAAAAGAAGCTATGGGCTTGCTAGCAATGCATTTCGATATGCAAACCTGTCAATAAGCTGCTTTTATTCGCAGTGGAAACGCCTGTGGGTTGGGCCAGAAGAGATCTCGTTATACTAACCCAGTAGTATACCTAAAACTTAAGCCAGTAAATCGTAAAACAAAATCCGATGCAAATCAGCTCCGTGACAACTTTTAATCCAGTTAACGACTGTTTTCGAAAGAATTTGACCATAACACAAACGACTAATTATCACCAGCTGTCATATTTTAAAAACAACTTCAACTTATGTTTGAACTGCTTACCTTTACCATCGCCATCGGAAGAGTCCTCCATTAAACTCATGGGAACTGAAAGCCAAATCTAGTGATTGTTCGGCGGCAAAAAAATCGGAACAAACCCTGACCGACGCGTATTCAGTAATGGTAAAGGAAGTCAGAATTCGCGCCAGATTGGGGTTTGCCAGTCGTCTAAGGGATATGCACACGACGCGCATGGCGAGGTGAGCAGCCCAATTCAACTCTTTCAGAAGACATTTTTCCGAAGCTGTGCGCAAGGCAGCATCCGATGCGTCACAGTCGATCCACGAAGACACATAACCAACAAAGTTGCCGGCAATGGAGTCACCTGAACGAAGAGTGCATGCATTGAAAACTTAAGCAAACTACCAGTTTCGGTGTTAACCTGATCTGAGCGTAGGGCTGGCAAAATAGCCGCAATTTTTTCGTCAGTCAGTTTGGGTTCGTCGGAATTCTGAAACAGATCTGCTCCTACAAATGCATAGCTGCGGTACGTGAAGGAGGGAATGGAAGCGGCTTACCCCATGGAGACAGCATCGGTGTAGGCTGTTTTCAGATCGTCTGTCTGGCCGATGCGTAGACCAACAAGCGACGAGTGCATAGTTAGCACGCAAGTAGACTCAAAATCTGCAAAAAACATGAAACAATTATAACAAGGCCTAGGACTTGGGTCGGTGTGCAGCCGCTACAAGGTCAATGAGTTCATTGTCTAGAGTAAATAAGGCACCAAAAACAACTGCACCGCGTAACTCTTGTGACACTTACCTACACTTGATGATCTTTAAAAAACGGATACCACACAGTTCAACTTTCTGCCTCCCTGGTCACTCAGAAATCAAGAAGACAGAAGCTGAAGCCAAGCATATGGTAATTTAGAAAGGTCTACGGAAAATATGGAGTAAACGAATAGAGAGACCATTTTCCGTTAGCGTTCAGTGAACGTTAAGCAAAGAGTGTCAAGATAACTTGAGCTAAATCGGCACGACAACGAGCTTATTGTCCGATGGGTAGCGCGTTAGAATTCTGAGCAAAAGGTCACAAGTTCGAGCCTCGGGTGGCGCACCACTTGGTGTTGTGAATAGCTGGCTGACGACAGCTAATGAGTCAGAAATGGCCTTTCTAGTCCCTTCTGCGTTTGCCGGCAATGCCATTTCTTCTTAATATACCGTCATCGACCGGTCACGTTAGAATTCCAAACTATAAGTATCCCAGGTTGAAGTTTGAAAAATTAGGATACCAAATTCTTGTTCGTCAACCGGAGGCCCTAGTACCGTAAGAGAGTTCGCTTTAACTATATGCAATAACTGCGCGATAATGCTTACAACCCTCTCATACTACCTGTAAGGCACAGTTATTTTGTGCTAATATCGTCATACTACCGGCTTTATGAACGAAAGGTTTAGCCAACGCCAATAGAGGATGTTGAAGAACGATGTCAGTTTACATTCCAAATAGGTTTAAACAGGTAAAAGCATATGAAAAATGGACATTTTATGGTCCGCAATTCTGTTAAAAGGCAATATTTTTGGACGGCGCAGGCCATGGGAACACGAATTGATGCAGTGAAAAATAATTCGTCTAGGAACGCGGTCGAACCCTAGTGGCGGTGGTAGTTTTTTTAGCTTCTATTTATAAACCTAAATTAGGCCCTATCACTTGCAGGTTTTCACTAAGTGACGGTCCGCTAGACGGGCCAAAATATGACTTTAGCGGACTACGATACGCTAAATATTTTGGAGAAAACGACTTACAGCATGTACTAACGAACCCGAAAGCACGTTTTGTGTAAAAGTGTCCTATATTTTATTACTACTTAAATATTTATAGTAAAATGAGTTTCAAAGGCAATAATTGAGACAATTTCAATATCTCAATGTTGCTACTTTTGCCCTTTACCACTACGCTATAAAAGGCATGGAGGCGGACTTATACCAAAGTGAACTGAGTGCAGGTGTTGCTGAGCCAGTTGGTTTCAGGGAGTCCTCTAGCCAAACACTTACAAGCTTAAGGATGCGTTGTAGGTTCTCAGGCGATTTCCAAATACTTACATCTCTATCTTTGTCCAGTGTACTGTATGGTTCAGGCTCTTCTCAGGACCACGACGAGTAG